TAGATATATATTAATTTTCAGGTGATGCATATACATCAAAAACAAATTCATGTATCTAGACTAGATTCACTTCCTAGACAGTAAATTCAACAGTCGGACATAAAAACTTAAAACTTGTTTATAATAAAAACATTTGCATTTCTCTTATTTTAGTTTTATTTTATATTATATAACCGGCGTTGATAACAGCCGTTCCAATTCTGAGTTAAAGACTATCATATTTCAATTCTAGAACAACCCAAAAGAAAAGAGAACTCTTGGAGCAAGCATTGGGACAAACTGGCGCTCGTAGAAAATTTTTCATTGAATCAACCCACTTTTGCATTATAAGGATGGGAAAACCACGAAACATTCGTCAGTCCCATTGTTAGTCTGATGGCAAGGGGATTCTAGCTCAAGATCCGTCTATGGTTGAGGATATTTTACGTCAGTACAGTGGTCGGTGCTAGCCGGGAGAAAAATTTGTATCAACCAGCCCCAACTGGTATTCAAACCTATATCATCTCGATGGGAGGCGAATGCTCTATCTCCTGAGCCATAACGACTCTACATTTATTTTATTAAAAAATTTTATAATAAAGTTTGGTTAATAAATTTGATTTTATTAGTTAAGATGCTTTAATTTTATCGATTAATATAATCACAATTATTTTATATACTTTATTTATAAAAATAGGGGTCATTATTAAAGTATAATTTATAAAAATCCAACTTCATTCATAAAATTATGTTTCTCCCCGAAAAAAGATCGATCATTCAGGGTTCCATAGTCGACTTTAACTACAATCACAACTACAACTTTAAAATTCAGCTATTCAAATGTGTAAAATACCATATCTGTTAATGACACTTCTGCTGCATTTTTAAAACTTTTCATAACTATTTAATAAAAATTTTTATTTTACTTTATTTTTTTATGCAATATTATACAATCTATCCCAAAACATAATCTAATTTTTTCTGTTATAGATAATTACATGCATTCTGTGCCTTGTCGTAAGTGAATTGCAAGGATACCCACAACTGGAGAAAAAGGCTACAAACCAGTTATCACAATTCGCAGCCTCACCTCACAAAAAAATAGAAAAGAGAAATGCTGAGTGGTCAAACAGGAATGTTGATGAACGCGCTGAATCCACCCAAACTAGGGAAGCAGTGGTAGAAAGTGGAAACTATGAAGCCATTACGAACTCACCAAAAATCATACGAGTTAGGTTGCATAATGGATCCCGATCAAGACAATTTAGGAAGGAAAATGGTGATGATCGTAATAAGACTACAAATATTTCTGAACCAGCACAAAAACAAGATGGAAAAGTTGTAAGGGTGAAAAAGTTTAAGAGGAAAAAACCGGCTTGGGAAACTACTACACAAAAAACAACAACGACCCCCATTCGTACCACAACACCTAGGTATATTCGTCAAACAACAAGAGCACCTCGCACAACTAGAGTTCCCAGTACACAAAGTTCTGCGTATGCCCATATTACAGTAGTGAATAAAATAGAAAGGGATCAAAAACCGAAGAGGAAGGAAAAAGTAAAAAACTACAGTTTGTGGGTGCCAGCAACTGATTCCAGTGAGAGGATTCAAAACGTAGAATCTAGTTCTCCGAGTAGTAGAGAAAACGAAAGGCGAAACTCCGGAAAACGAAAACATCAGAATAACGATTTTGATCTTTCAGGCAGAGAGACTGAAGACACACCTGTTTCTACAAACTACAAGAGCCAGAGATTACCTGCAGCCAAGACAGAGATTAAATCGAGAGAAATTAACCGAAAGGAAAATTCAACAAAGCCCTTACAGGACCCTGAATCAAAAAGATTTCCAAAAGATGGTATTTCACAAGGGGACCACTTTGGACGACTGTATAATCCTAGCGTAGAATATTCTGAAAGCAAACAGGAACATGCAGACAAATTGAAACCAGTACTAGATCATGAATCATTGAAAGCAAAAACTCATAAATCTGAAGAAAGAGGTAGACTTAACACGCCCTCGACTTCGAGAGATTTTGAAATCTTGGATGATAACAGGAACATCGAAAAATTGTCCAATGATACAGATGAATCAAAGAGTACTTCACACTTTAATCAGTTAGAAACAACACCTCTACCAGGTCCGCCTTACCAAGACTTTGGTGTCTTTAATGGTCGATTCCCGAATTATGGAAATTCAAGATTTCTAGGACAAACTTTTGATACTGATCCGTTCTTTCAATCGAATCAACAATATCCACCCCCTCCCATGCAGCAACCATACAATCCTTTCTACGGCCCTCAACAATATCCACCATACTATTCAAGACCACAACAAATTCCGCCTTCTTATTCAGCACCAAGTGGCATGGGTTTTCCTCAATATCAACCGAGTCCTCATTTGCTATCAGTGAGAAGATCAATATTAGATACTATTGAAAGAGATGAGTCCTCTGAAACGACAACCGAGTTTTCTTTGCCGAAGTTTGAAATACCGTCTATTGATTTCAACGACAGAGGTTGTAGAACTGTGTACAAAGAAGTTAATGCTGTCCCTGGTGCCCAACCTTATGGCCTACCATTTGAAAATAAAGCAAAGAGCGTCATAATGACAAGAGAGTGTATTTTTCCGGATGGTGTTCCAACAACTGAGCCTAAAATTACAGAAACTACTGAAAGTGAAACTACTACATAATAGAAAAAAAGACAATGCCTTTTTTTTCTGAATAGAAAACAATATCAATTCATATTTATGAATTCATGTTGCATTTGTCTTGTTTTTGTCTTTATCCCTTGAGGCACTTTTGGAAAACTGTTCTTAAAAATTCTGTAATTCTTAATTAATACAGAACTTAGGAATAAATATCTTTTCAAGCAACTTTTTGAAGAAGATAAAAGACAGGAAATGTTAACGCTGTGTTAAAGACAAATAGGCTATGCATGAATTAATTCCCAATGTTCTATCTTTTAAGCACCGAAATTTGGTTCTTAAGCAAAGTTTTCACTCCTCTAGGTTTTCAAACTGCTCCAGGCACAAGTTTTTTATTTCGCAGACTATATTTCGTTGAAATCAAATGCAATTAAGTATTATTTTTGCTTCAAAACGAAAAAAAAGACTGAAAAGAAGCAGTTTATTTCATCCCATAGAACTAGTTCTTAATTTTTTACTCCTTATTTTCAGTTTAAAAATTTAAAAAGTATTTGTGCTAATTGAGAAATTACGCATTGAAAAAAAAATATGGTCAAAACTACCAGAATATGGTAAAATCGACCGTATTTCTAGTTCTATGAAAACATCAGAAAGCTTGGTAATTTTCACCGAAGAGCTATAGTAATGATTTCAGAAAAATCAGCAATAAAATTTGGTTTCATATTATGTAATAATTGGTTCTATATTTGGTTTTATATTACATGATTAAATTTGGTAAATGTAGTAAAATTTTGTAATTTATCATGATACTTTAGAGCATGACATAAAAATGATGTATTCTGTTAAAATTCCTTTTAGTTTTATATTTTTTATTTAATGTATAGCAATAAGAATTATAATTCTGAAAATCGAAATTTCCAGTAAACCATTATCATGCGAACGGAAAAATTAAAAAATAACAAATTACAAAATGAGTGGTATAATTAACTACCATATAATTTAATTGCATTAACCAGATTTTTTTTACCAGAAATATCCTTACCATGGAGTACAGTAATTTCACCCGAATTTTTTTCTCCGTGTGGAATCTAGTATCTGGACAGATATAATATTACTTTCTCTGAGTATAAACTAGGTTGAAAAAATTAATATCTTAAATTAATGCTTTGTCTTACATTAATAACTGTTTAGTTCTCCCTACCGTCAGGTTTCATATGCAGTTTCTTTTAGAGTTATCTAGTTATAATGTTTCAAATCTATATTTATGTTTTAAATCTATATTATCTTATAATCAAATCTATATATATGTGTTTCAAATCTATATTATTATATCCATATCAAATCTATATTATAATCTATAACCTGACGGTAAATAATTTATGTATAATTTGAAATAAAAAAATGCTGAGTTATCCAGTTTTAGCAGCATAACCTAAGACTTATTGCAAGTTCATATACTAAAAATAAAACTTTCAAATATTTGTTATAATGTACCATTCGCGTTAATGCAAATATACCATTTTATAATATTTTGTTATAATAAACTATTTAAATGCTACAAAATGTCCATTAAATAGCTATTCCAAACGTTTAAGACTTAAAAGTTCAGATTGGTTCTTGGATATAGATATACCTGATATAGATATACCACAGATGCACCCGATTTTAATTATCTGTAAATAAAACCTGTTTAGCAAACTTAATTTCATTGTCCGCTATTTTCTCATTAAATATATATACAAGAGTGAGGATTGAAAATATTTAAGCGATTTCATTTTTTAAATAATTAATCAATTTGCTAAAATGATATTAAAATATTTGACGATGTGTGTTTGACTAAATTATTTCATCAAAACAACATCCTCATAAAAATCGCTTCCAAGTTAAAACACGTCAAGGTGATTTCGATTTTATCTTAACTAAGAGTTAAATTGAACAAAGTTTCTGCTAGAGTTTCACCATAATATCATGTAGTCAAACCTAGGACGTAAAATAAGATGGTTCAACTTCATAAGATGATTCCCATATCAAGGCTATATCAATTTATTTATTTTTTTAAATTTCCGTTTACCACACTCCAAAATGTCTAACAATAAATTAAAAACTGAATAAACTCTGAATTATCCATTATTCCATTTTTATTTCAGAAACAATATTTAATCTCCCAAAAAAATTCGAATATCTGATTTTTTATCTGCTTTTTAAAAGGTTCGTTGCGTATCTATTGCGTATCAGGATGTTTATATGTATGTTCCTTACACAAATCCACAGCAAATTTGATGTTTATACTTTCAAAGACACAGTGAACCCAACTGTCACTAAAATTTCCTCCAATCACTGGTTCACGCGCTACATCTCAAAGAAAGAATTTTACAGTGGTGGGGCAGTGGTGGAGTTTTGAGGGCAGTGGAGGACTGCACTCAGTAATTGCCTCAATTATACATCCAAACTCCTAACAGTACGCGGATTGCGCTTCTATATAGGTCTCTCTTCTCATTGACACGTGTGGGTGCATCTCATGAAGATCACGCACTGTCTTGGCGATAATCTTCTACCTGGCCAAGAAATATATCGAAATATATTATGATGGGATTAAATTTGAGCTATTGCAGTCAGGATTAAATTTACAACTAGAATGCAATGCATTTTGAGGGATTTAAATCATTTGATTTTTAGTTAGAAATCACTGATTTAAATCAGCTGTGATTTTTCTTAAAAAATTAAAATAAAACATTAACTTAAACATAATTTCCATAGCATTTAATATGAACAAACTTAGTATGAAAAATTACTAATTAACTACGAAATCCTTGCCGGTAAGGGACTCTAACCCATGACATCACAGTGGTCGGTGCAAGCCGGGTGCAGGCTTCGTATCTACCAGCCATCGCTTGGATTCGAACCCGATTCATCTCATTGGAAGGGGAGCACTCTATCCCCAGAACCATAATAGGTACCAATTAAAATGAAAAAAAAAAGTTTTGTAATAATAAGCACAATTAGTGGAAGGTATTTCTTCATTAAAGGAACCATTATAAAATCGTCTTCTCATTAATGGCACCAATAATGCTTAATTAATTTTAGTAATTATTATTACTGCTATTATGTTAATTGGTTTATTTTAATACGTACTAAGTATACTAATATTGGCACCAAGATATCTCTGCAAAAATAAGCTTTACAGCGAACCGAGAGGGATACAGAAGAAAATTATTGATTATAGAAATTTTTGTCCATCAGGGAGTTGACCTCGAGGATTAGCTCTGTGCTAAATTATACTGAATTTAATTATCTTTATTTTGAAGGATATAACTTTCAAAACTTGCTTCGTTTAATCTGATAACATAAAACCACTTGAAGGGTATAAGTGAGGAACAGGTACCAGAAAAATGGTTGATTTTGGGAATTTTTGACTTTTAGAAGTTGACCTGAAGCTACAGCATTATTCCAAACGATATTGAATGTGATTAATCCTTATTTTGAAAGAATGGATTTCTACATATATTTCGCCTAATCGAATAACATAAGCCCATCGGGAATAGCAACAAATAATAAAAAAAAAATAATAATAATGAAATTGTTTTAGATTAATTAATTGTGTCGGTATATATCTTTCAATTGCGTGATTTTTAGTTTATAATGATTTATTGATCGTTTAATTTTTTTTCACCCCGTGCGAAGAACAGATATTCTGAACGGGCATTAAACATGAAAAGCAGTTAAAAATGGTGAAGGATCTCTACATTTTCATTGCTTAGTTAAATCGCATGATATGATCCCGTTTAACCACACAAAAATTCAGATTTCCTTGATTGTAATCAGCATAAATGTTATTGTACCAGTAAAGCAGTTTTTTATTCTTAATTTAAAGGTGTCCACGTGCTATTTTTATTTATCATCCATGGAATTCTTTCATATTATTACTTTTTATTTTAATTGATATTTTAACTTAAAAACTTAAAACTAAGAGCTGTGTTTCTTCATTAAAAAGCAAACCTTTGATATTATCCAAATTCGAAAAAGTAAATGTGTTTAAAATGGTATCTACAGAGTTATTAACCATTTTAAAATTGAAGACTACGAAGAAAGAACGGTCTGATGGCCACAAAATCTGATTCGCAGAAGCAAAAAATGATTTTGCCCGCTGAAGTGAAGGAACAAC